TGCAGAAATCAGATTTAAATTGATGAATTGCCAATGCTTCCGCTGTGAATAACTGTCGAAGGTGTACTTCTTTTGAACTATTCCATTTGACACTATAAATGACACTGAAGGCGGAATCTAATGGAGCTATCTTTAGCTAGAGTTAATCAAATGTTCAAGAATTGAACTGTTAATTGATTTACATTCTCTCCTCGGCAACCATGCAGGATAGTGTTCAGAGATACGTTTGGAAAGTGTGCTATTTGTACAGCCTATATAACTAGCTCCACATGAGCAATTAAATTTTTAGACATACATTGAGGTGACCCAAAGCGGCAACGTATCCTTAATGCACTCCGGAACCAGTCGCTGACTAGAGAAGCTGATTTGTAGCCTCGCAGAGAAGAATGTCTTCTTCAGGGATTTAAACAGCCGATTCGTCAGGATCTCTGCTTCCGTATAACCTTTGAAACCAACGTTCATAAATAAGGTATTCTTGGAAACTGTGAGTGCATTCTGCGTATTCTGTTTTCATTTCAAGTTCTTCTCAATAAATCTGGTTGGGTATCCATTTTGCATGAGAATCTTCCATAGTTTGCCTAATTTATTACCGATAGCATCACTCGTGCAAATTCTTCTGATTCTTGAAGATAAAGAATGGATCAGATTCCTTTTTCTGCTAAGAGGCACCCAGCTATCGAAATTCAAGTACTGTCCATTCCATGTAAGGTTCCTATAAATCGATCTCTGAAGAGAACCATCTGGCCTCCGTTTCAATAAGACATCAAGAAAATGAAATTCTGAGTTCTTTTCGAACTCTGATGTGAAGTTGATCGATGGGTGACAATCACTGAACTTTTTAACTAATGTCCCAATATCTGTATTTTGATCACATATGATGAATGTATCATCCACATCTTTTATATAGGTAGAAACTATCAATTGTTGACTGAAGCACACTATTCTCTAGGTTCGTCATAAAGCGATCAGACAACAGTAGTTCAAATGGTGACCCCATAGTAACCCTCTCCTTTTGTTTGTATAGCTCATTGTTGAATTTGGATTGCACGTTGAAAGTATACCTTAGAAGTAATTCCTTCAAATAGTGTTTAGGGATACTCATGTGAAAATTATTATCTTCGATGAAATCACATAGAAAACAGATAGTTTCTGTCGGTCGGATATTGGTGAAGAGCGAAACCATATCCAGAGAAATCATTCGCTTACCGGATATATTGACATTCTTAATTGAGTTGACAAAGTCGAGGGATACCAATAAGCTGTGCGTATTTAACTGTTTTCCGATTGGTTGAAGGATGTCTGACAGCCACTTGTCCATAGAATCGTATGATATTGTTCATGTCCGAAATTGGACACAGAGGAAGATCTTCTTTATTTACTTTCGGGAGACCATATAAGCGAAGAGTAACATAACCAGAAGGTTGCAATTGCTCGAATAGTTCGAGGCTGATGACAGACTTATTCTTCATTTTCTTCAGAATCTGGGTGACCTTTCATTCAATTTGCTCAGTGGTATCATTTTGCGCAGCCCCTTTGGAAAAACTACTTATATCTGATGAGATAGAGATCATTTTCGCGTTCTAGCCCGAACGACCCATGAGAACATTATCACCGCCTCTTATCAAAACGAACTAGCAGTGAATCTTTATTTTTCAAGATTTCATGCAGCTGCTCTCTATACTCTTTTGTCAGCAATCGTTTGCGATGTGGCCTCATGTTAAGATATTGATGACAGTAATTAAAGACAGTTGATTTGAACTGTTCAAGTCTCTTATTTGAAACTGGTAGATCAGATTTTCAAATTGGACATTTATGTCTAAATCATAGGCAGTTGCTAAGGTATCACAAAATTTCAGACCCAAAAATAATACCTACATGTGAATGGAGTAATTGAATGCGTATTTTTCTAGTGCTTCTGGAAAACGATGTATTTCATCTCATCAACTTGATTTTAGCGTCTTTCGATCGACACTTTGACACTGTCTTGACATAGTCTGTGAAAATAACCAGCACGTCTTCGGATACATCGAACAGTCCATAGGATCTCAATGAGAAATGGTTATGTTTCATCGTCTAAAGTTGAGCAAGGACCCTATGACAGTGAAAGAACTCAATAGGTTTCTGAAGTTTTCTGTCAAGCTTGTCGTAGTGAATGCAGGAATTAGTTTTCTCGAAAGCTGTATGGATAAACGCGAATATCCAAATCCGTGTTGGGAAAGTTTGCGTCGAAATCACATTCATCGAAATCATCATTCTTTAAAGCGTCACATACGGAATATCATAGACAAAATTAAATCACGATAACCTGAATTGGAACGTAATGTCCTCGATTACAGTTTTTCAACACTAGCTGGCCTAATGATGCAATTATACACTACTGTTAAATAATATCAGAAGCAGTTGGACCTCGTAGCTCAGTTGGTAGAGCATCGGGCCAGTAACCCGGTGCTCGCTGGTTCGAATCCTGCAGCGGTCCGAACTTTCATCTCACCTCCAATCATCAGCCGGCAAAAAATACTAGTCTGCCAAACTAAAGCTATCTCACATAATCAAATAATAATCTATATGATGCTCCCCCTCTCTAATTCAGTTACATTTGGATTCAGATGAGAAGTCCTGACTAGACAGCCAGTGTGAATATGACTAAGAGGTAGTGACACATCATGAATTCTCATGGTAGTCAGCCGAAACCCTGCTTGTGAATGAAGTGAAATAAAAATCTGGTCAACAGTAGTCAGATCTCGTAGCTCAGTTGGTAGAGCATCGCTGGTTCGAGTCCGGCCGCCGTCCAAATTTTTATCTCACCTTTAATCATCATCCAGTAAACTACGGCTACCTCAGATAGCTAAAAAAAAAGGAACCCATAGATGACAAATGTAAGCGTATGTGTCCTTTTCATGTAATCCAGGGAAAAACACTTCATAAGTACTTTTTTATGTAAAAGTAGTTGTCTTCACATAAAATTATTTAAATATTTAATTCATTCGAGGTAGTCTTAACTGTAACACTGGTGACTGACTTTGTAAAGCTGCATTATATGTTTATGATACAATTGTACAGCTTTAGAAAATGATCTTATTGAAAAAGAAAATTTTTTTCATTAAATCACAATGGAGTTAATGAAGCGGTGTCTTTCACTCTTATACAGAGTATATGATGCAATATTGTCAATGTAATAATTATGTTGACTTTTGAGGAAGCATAACCATTACAAGTAATATAGAATGTGATAGAAAAAAGTGAAACCTGACCAAAATCTATGTTCTTTTCAATGAATAATTTCAAAACTTTAAGCACTAGAGAAAAAAAATATTCTCAATCCGGTTTCTTTTACCCATTTATAAGCATAAAATACTTTATAGTGACTGATCACTAAAGAGTAACCTCACAGAATCATGCTTCTGTCCACCCAAAGCAAAATATAAAACTGCATCATCCTGGAGAGACTAAAGGATGCACTGGATTCAGGAAGTACAAATCATGTGTGGATCAAATTGCAACGCTACGCATCATCATAGAACAGAGTATAGAATGGCAGTCAACTCAACTTCATCGACTTTGAGGATCTACAGGCAAAATCCAACAGGGTAACAGAAGAGGCAGCGAAGACAGGACTTCAAGTGAATATAGAGAAGACAGAGGTGATGATGATACCCAACCAACGCCGCCGCCACCACCACCACCACCACCAACAACAACAACAAGCTTCAATCACCATCAACGGGAGAAACCTAGAGGAAGCAGCTGCTTTCACCTATCCAGGCAACATCGTTTCAACTACAGGCGGCACAGTCGCAGACGAGGACATCAAAGCCAACCAGAATCGGAAAAGCAAAACAGACGTTCATTAATCTGAAATAGCCAGTGTGTAGATCTTCCGCACTCAGCATAAAGCGTGAACAAAATCCGGATTTCCAACACCAATTCAGTCAAGTCAGTGCTTCTATATGGTTCAGAAACTTGGCGCATTACGAAAGCCATTTCCAACAAACTACAGATATTCATCAACAACTGCCTAAGCTGGCTCGTTACTGAAGCTCAGATGATAAGGCGAGAAAGAATAAGCAACAAGGAACTCTGGCCAGCAACGAACCGACCGAGAACCTATCACTCAACAAATATGCAGAATGAAGTGGAGATAGATTGGGTATGCACTAAGAAGACCATTCGGGGACATCACGCTTCAGGCTGGGCTAGGCAGTCGAGTGGAATCTAAAGGGAAAACGACGAGTTGGGCGTCTGAGCCGAGGGTGACATGGAGGAGATCGTGTGAGGAAGAAATGAAAGCTTCTGGGCAGTTGTGCAGTCATGTTCAAAAGATTGTAGAGAAGAGAGTGAAATGGCGACGTGCAACTGAAGCCCTTTGTTCCACTAGGAACCTAAGGGACAAATAATAATATAATAATAAATACTGGAGAGTAACCAATATGATATTATCAAGTTCCAAGCGCTGGTCGAATTCTATTGATCATCTTGGAGTATTCTAACAACAAGCTAGAAGACATACCCTCACAGTTCACTCAATTTGATAGATATTAACTGGTTGGAGATATCTATCGGCAGGATACTCTACGCCCCACCCACGTTACATGTTCTTTGGTACTCATCATCAAGGTGTATTTCCAACCTATTAGAAACATATTTCCTTTGATAGATAAGAACCCATATCACTTGATCGTGTAATTAAGGACTTAAATAATTCACTAGTAAGGTTGTTAACCGTAGCACTGGACGAAGTGGGTTCAAATCTCTCAGATGGCATCAATCTCCTTGAGGTTATAGAAACGTTTTGCTGATAACTATCAACAAACACTAAACTAAAGGTTCAAAGCACCCTGTCGGTTATCTTCCATCAACTGACGAAAAAAACGCTTACATTCAGCAAACAATATCATAGTCAATCTAAAATCATAAGGAACACAAATCACTATTTTCTGTTTCAATACAGCATAAATCATTCAACTGTAAACAAGTTAAAAAAAAATTGTGCAAGAACATACCATATTCAGTGGAGGAGTGTCTTCTGATGATGTCAGTTCAGCACTACAATTTCGACATAAACGCCCACATAGTCGACTATTTGTTGACATAGAATCTGTATTGCCATCTGATCCTGTAGAAATTGGAGTACCATCTTCATTTTTATCAATAGAATTCAATAAAGGCGCATCAACACCATCAACACCAGTATTTGCTAGATATACAATCAAAAGTGTAGAGAAAAATGAATCACTTTGGGGAGGGGGGGGGAAGTTCAGAAACAGTACTGCGACAATTTGATGCCCAATAATCATATCTGATTTTTTTTAAAGTGGTGAGATTGATGTGTCAAGAGGTGTATTCCTCTACATAGAGTAATGTATATACATGGGTTTCAACGCTGTGGGGAGTAAGAGGAGGAAAAATAAACGCTTAGATCTATCTCTTATCATCATCATCAAGACGAACGTAGGAACGGGAATTACTACGTAACGGCCTACCAAGCAGTCAAACTGGTAATCGATATGATGCTCCCCCTTATCTAATATGGATGATAAGTCCTAAGTGGAGAGCCAATATGAGTACGATCAAGCGGTAGTAGTGAAGGAAACGAGACGACAGAGACGAAGGAAGGAATGTTTATAACTAACATGTGGTACAGTAGTCGTTAAATATGTTACACCTTGCACTAAGACAGTCATTTGCAAAATATGCTTCATTTCCTCTTCTGCCTCTCTCTTCATTTGCTCTTGATACGCCAGCGTTGTCTTTTGCGTTTCTCTGAGTAGAATCCCTACCTATTTCTGCTGCCCTCTCAATATATACTACTTATATTCACTTTTATCAGCAACACGTCATGAATTCAATTGGAAGCCGGGCAAAACTCTTGGTGATTGAGATGAAATAGTATATCTGGTCAGCATTCCAGTTTCGTAGCTCAGTTGACAGAGCATTGGGTCAGAAACCAGGTGGTTGCTGATTCGAATCCTACCGCGACCTAAATATTTATTAATTACCAAAAAACATAATAACACATACAAGACAATTACATACCTGTTTCAGAAATTTCTTCAACCTCAGATTCAGGTAGGTTAGGGCCAATAGACTCTAATTTATCATCACTGATCTGCGTTGATCCTGGATAATTCACTTTAGAGAAATTAACAGATTTTTAAATCGAAAAAAAATTACATAACAAGCATTAAAAAACAATTAACTGAAAAAGAGAAGAACAGAGTAAAACCAGCTTCTTGCTGATGATAAATATAAAAATGATGTGCCATTACACCAGCCCCCTGAAAAACATTAAACATTTTCGGAGGGTCATATGGAATTACCACCATCCTAAGAATTCACTACCAGCTAGCATGATATGAGTTAGTCAGACAGGAAGGCAGGGAGGGAGGGGGGTTTAGAAGGTAATTCTAAAAGAAGAAGGCTAGAAAGGAAAGATAAAGTGTATAAACCTGATTATAAGCATCTAACGACTGATATTAGTAATCGTGTTAGTATTTTGAACAGTCGTTGCCTGGATCGTATCATCATCATAAGTCACAAAAATTTGACTATTGTTGATACAACTTTGTCTTTAAGTAAGTGACTATAACAACCATTCAGTCACTGTATTCACATGACCTCGTTCGATATGTTGATGTTCAACTCTGATCAGTGGTATCATAACCGTACATTTTTAGTCACAATAAAAATGATCATTCTCTGTTTAATCAATTGCACAAATTAGTATTATTGCTTATATTATACCGTCATTGACTGGACCGAATTGAACGGTCTCTATTGGGATATGGGCTCCTGTGCAGATGACTCGATATTACCTGTGCGTTTTTTAATTAGTGTTGGATAATGGCTAGCAGTAGAATCCAAGATGCGCATTTCATCCTAGTTAAGAATTGTCAGCTGATCAGAAAATAACAGTCATGTATACACACAAGAGCATTTAAGAACAAATTTCAGCAACGTACACAAACACACACACACATTTAGGGTAAAAAAAAACGATCAACGGAGAAAAAAGCGTACAGCAGGACAATAAAACGAAAATATAAACATACAACTATACACTGATATCTAACACACGAGCCATATTTGAAATGCTGTATCGAATGGAAACGAATAAGGCAGAAGGCGATTAACAACAAAGCTAAGCCAAATAATGATCAACAATTATGTAGAATTTCAAACAAAACACACACACACACACACACAAAAACGTTGTATGGGCATAATGAGGAGAAAGAGAGAGAGAGAGAGAAGGAGAGAAGTAACGTAGCAACAATTAGAAAGGAACATAGAATGAACACAGTATACATATATGGCACATATACATATACACATAGGCATATTTTATATACACATATATATAAATATATACCAGTTGCTTGAGATTGGTATCCACTTTTTTCAGCCTTCAGGGTTAACAGCCTTCGTAATTCATACTCCGCTGCTTTACGATACTCAATAATACCAAGCCAAGCTTGTTTAGTGACTTGGGTTCCAATATAAAGGAAAAGTAAATGTATATTGTTATTATTATTATTACTGTGATGATAGAATTGCGAAAATAGAAACTTTAAAGATACACACACATACACACACAGAGGTATGCATACATAACCACACTAGAACAGGGACTGTTTACCAAAGCAGATAAAAAGAAGAAGAAGAAGAAGAAGACGACGAAAGCGAATGAAGACAATCAATCAAAATGGCAGCAGATCAATCAATAAAACGACTAGAGACAATAAACTATCACTCTCTCATTCTCTTTGACACTTTCTTGTTTAATGAGTATAAATTATACGTCGACATACACAGAGACAAGCTTACAAGTGTACCAATCCATTGTAAATAAAGGACATACAAATAATAATAATAATAATGCGTAAATGCAGTTTGGTGTATTCTCCTTAAGGCAGGAATACATCAACACATTGTGACTGACGACATCAAAACATAAATAAGATGAAAGTGGAATCAATGGAAGAAGGGATTACACAACAACTGTATACAGTATATTAAACAACATAAAAATGTTAGGAGTAGTTCATGCCGTACAACAATCAACTGAGAACCTTCTGATGTATAATTGGTTCTAATAAATACTCGCGTCATCTTCATCTTGACCATAATATCATATTTTACTATTTCCCTTAGTTCTCTTCATTTATTTTTTCTTCAGAAATGGAGACAACAAATGTTGTCCACCATTTTGTCATAGATGTACTAATGGATATCTTATCTCACAGTGATTGATTTACTCTCTGGAGGTAAAATCTGACTGAAATCATCCTATTGAACAAAAATGCTGATGTAAAGCAGGATCATCTGAAAGCGTTTTGTAAAAATGTAAGTATGTTTGACATGCATTTCACACTTGTTGAATGTAAGATGATGATCCAGGAGTGAAATGGTGGAATGTGTTGATTACTTGGTCATGGCTTGGATATTTAGTGTGGATGACGCACCACCACCTACCTTCACGTGCCATTGTAGGCGAAGTTGGGTTGATTTGAGAGTTCGCAACGGCTAGACCAACACCTGACATCAGTCCATGAAGTACCTGACTGTCAATCTCAGCTGTGTGTGGAGATAGAAATCATCTGGCTGGACCTCCCGAGACGATAGGAATAAGAGATTAGGGAATCGGTGGCAATGGTGCAAATGCATTCATTCCTTAACGTATTGTAAAACTTGAATATTCGCACTAAGTTTTTTATTCTTTCATACAACTTTATCCACTCTTATTCTATCCACCAGTTCTTTATTTACTACTGTGAAGTGTAGCAACATGAAGACATGTATTTGTGTGCCAGGTTCTATGCTGATTAATATACGTGTAAAACCAGGGCACTGTGGTACAATGTAACTCCAGACTAGTGAACTCTTACGAGTTAAAACTGAGGCTTAATGACCTACACATAGAAGAGGATGAAAAAATGGTTAGCTTCGATGTAACAAGTCGGTATACTAAAATACCAATCAGTTTCGCACTGGAGACAGTCGGAAGGCAACCAAATATTGACTCAGAACATACTCACAGAACTAAGATATCGGTTGGTCACATCATATGAAGCGTACAGTTGTGCTTGACCTACACAGTCTTAAAACCTCAAGACACAATATATAGACAAACAGAAGGAGTAGCAGAGTGCGACCGCCAATATCTCCAATCATAACAGATTTATTTATGCATAGTTTGGAAAAAATGGCCTTACAAACGTTGAATTCTGCATCTAAGATATGGTGGTGATATGTAGATGACACATTTACTGTGTTCAAATCGGAACATATCGACAATTTCCTCACACATATAGATTAACTCGGTGGTAGACACAATCCAATTCACTTATGAGGTAGAAAGTGAACAAGAAGAATTATCAATACTGGACTGCAAGATAAAACGAAGGACAGACAGTGATTTGGAGACTACCATCTACACAAAACTGACACATTCCAACAGGTATCTAGACTTTAAGTCATCTCATCCAATGTAAGCTGAGGTGGGTTTAGTCAAATGTCTAAGTGGTAGAGAGCTGGAGAACTGACTAGTACTAGTCAGTGCAACGACGTAAACAAGGAACTGAAGCACATAACAGAAGCTCTAGTAGTTAATCATTATCGTCTACAGTTTATTAAGAAATTCGAAGAAACACATAAGAAACGAAATAATAACGACAACACAAGTAGAAAGGAGTTTGTCCTCAGCCTTCATTGTGTTACCCTTTGAGGAAGGAAGGTATATCAGAAACTTGATGTAAGATCCTCAACAAAGCTGGGATTACTTATGATGGTATTTAAACCTACAAACTCACTCAGAGATAAGCTTTGTCGACTGGCTAAAGGATCCGATCGAACCAACTCAGCAAAATAATCTAATCTATCAAATTGTATGTAGTGAAGTGACAACGAGGTCAACTACATAAGTCATACTATCTGATCGAGGTGAGTCAGATTAGCGGAACGAAGGAATTTGACTAAATATGGAAGTATAGACCTGAATAAGATCAATAGTCCAGAAAAAACTTAGCTACTGCAATGCATACACATTAACACACAATAAAGGTGTGTGTGTGTGTGTGGTAAAACCACTGTACCTAAGTCCAAAAATATCATCAGGTGGACAGAAAGAGAGAGAGATTGGTAACTGAATCCTTGTTCATTGAACCAGCCAACACCCAGCACATTTGATAGGAATGATGACGCAACACCCATATCAGAGCTACCAATAAAAACAACTCATATAAGGTAACAAAACTATAAGGATCAAATGTCAAAAGTTGTGTGGTGGTTACATTGATATGATTATGAGTAGTAATAGTTTATGTTCGAAACTTCATGAGGTGAGTAATGCTGTATCACCACCATGTCTTATAAACCAAATAAATAAATCTTATATATATATATATATATATATATATATATATATATATATATATATATATATATATATATATATATATAGTATTACCTTCCGACTAGTATCAGTTCAGCTTAATTAAGTGCACAGTTGATTTGCGCTACAATACTGGAACGGTCAACTTTTCTCTTCTCACCTAATTGATCATAACAGTCGGTATACACACTTACGTACAAACACATGAGTTATTTGCCAAGTACACATAAGATATGCCTTTCATTGATGATATAACTATGAGAAAATTATATGCATCTTTTATAGCTCTTTTACAACAATCCTCTCAGTTGACCGTACAGATATTATTATTATTATTATTATTACTATCACTTTGACTATTTGAGATAGCCGTGGTTTGGCAGACTAGTATTTATACTGGGTGATGAGTGAAGATGAAATGAAAATTTGGACCGCGACCGGGTTCGAACCAGCGACCGCAGGGTTTCTTGCCCGATGGGATCGCGTAGCTCAGTCAGTAGAGCATTGGACCAGTAAACTGATGGTCACCGGTTCGAATCCGATCGCGGTCCAAATTTTCATTTCACCCTCAATTATCATTCAACATTAGTTATTATTATGCGGTGGATATTTAAAGTTGAATGGACAGCTGACTAGTGATCAACACTATCGCAAAATAAACTAAAGATTTAGTGTGATATTTATAAGATTACCCTCTAGCCGTCTAGCTTACCAACTTCGCCTAGTTAACTAGTTCACTAGTTACTAGCCGGTTAGCCGTTTACCTTAGCAACATATATATATATATATATATATATATATATATATATATATATATATCTTAGAAAGAAGCAAAAACATTTGGATCAACGTTGTGTGTTATCTGTACTAAATTAAATAAATGTACACCTAAGCACTATCTAATCAATCAGTCAAGATTAATGTGAGACCTAGTAGTATTACAGTGCAACGCTCCATATTGGAGCTATGGTTCAGTGGTTTAGGAAGATGACTATCAACTATTGGGTCACGGGTTCCAGCCGAACTCCAACTACCGATATGGTTTGGGCAGCTAGGTAGTAAGTATCATTAGGAAGAAATGAAACAACGAAATTCAGTAAGATGATTTAGATGAAGATAATATGCGCATACGTTCCCGCCAATGACATCGATTCTCAGCTATGATAACCTAGGGTGAAACTAGTGATTTAGGTTGTCACGATAACCGCAATCGGGAAATGTGCATTACCCTACATTGACTTAGAGTAACAGTCAAAGAACTTTATAGACTGATACTAAGTTTCTTCTAGCCACCAGTTACTTTCTTTCTAGACTTAACCCTACGCAAAAGACCAGACGTGGCTGGATATGCGTAAAGTATCACAAACATCTGAGTAGATGAAGGTTCGAAATCCCAACAACTTTCTCCTGCACAAAACTTTACTAAATTGGTGACACTAAAACACAGCAAGGGTTTTCGAACACCTAAAACCTTATAGCACTGCCTACCATTAACATCGACGTTTCACAACCACACAGCAGAACAGAATGAACTGCAGACATGTAATAGTTGTGGAAACTAGAATTTTAGACATTGTTTTTTAGACTGATTCTCGTATGGTTATTACAGGAGCACTTCTCGCCTTTCTCGAAGACTGGTGATTGAGATCACTCAGACAAGATCATATATAATGACCATACGCAAGCTAACGCTTCAGTTCATCCAAGTGATAATCGTTAACCATCGTCGTTGAATATCTCTGGTACTAGTGATCCTGGTAACAATTCTCGTTTCAGATTACTTACAGTTTTCTCACCTTCTGTAGGTGTTGGAGACCCTATCTCAATGTTCTGTTTAGGATCCCACTGGATAGTGAAGCAACAAAATGTGTTTTGAGATGAATGAGGATTTTTTTTAATTTAGAAGCAGTATTCATCATGGACTGACCACTGGAAACCAACCCAGTGGCTGAATGGTTAACGCGTTCGCCGTGAAACCTGAAGGTCCTGACTTCGATACCTAGCCGGATCGTGGGTGCGTACTGTTGAGGATTCCCATACTAGTCGGACGAAACAGCTGTGCAGTACTCCCAGATTTCCAATGGTTCCCCGACTGATGTCAGTCCATGATGAATACCACTTCTAAAGTAACAAAATCTTAGCTGGAGGTGAGTTGAACTGTCCCTTCAATTGTTGCTCTTTTCATTTATCATCTCCCCTGAGAATGGATCGCAGACCTATCTTTTTCTGTCATATTTTCCTTAGACATTAACTTTTTTGGTTCCAAGTCTACTGTTAACTATCGCAAAGGTCATTTCTTACCCCTGCTTACAGTCACATTTCGTTAACTGAAATTCGATTCGATTATATTATTCCTACTTTTTTAAAATGCTTGCTCTCTTGTACCTTAATGTGCTGACGCGAAGTGTGTAACAACTTATGCTGTTACACAATAATACTAGATCCTTTGTTATTTCTACCTGATAAACCGATTGATGGTTAGTTCAAAGTCAGATTTCACATCACGAACTGACTAACTGACTGTATATGAGATAGCAGACCATTGAGAACCACGAAGAAAATCATTATACTTGACTGACTTATTCTGCTTTTCGACTGCGTGGTTAATTTATCCATGTAACCATGAATGAAATTATGGGGACAAGGTGAAGATAGGTAAGCTTTTCAATGACCACACTACCTGATGCAACGATTATCCAAGTCTACTACTTAGTTGACTGAGATTCATTCAACCTGATATCAACAGAGTGATGATAAGCCATTTGAGATAAACCAATAGGTTAAATGAAAATTCTTATGGCAAATAAGAAAGGGATAAAATTCGGGATCATCAAAATCGATATAAGTGTAACTCACTAACTTAGTACACGCCTCTATACAAGACGAACCGAAAAGATTTGAACTAACCTTTTAACGTTGACAAAATGAAGCTATTTTAAATGATAAGTCAGGTTAACAACAAAAAATTTCTCAAAACATCTGCCGATTACTTCCATAAAAGTCAATATTATGTTAAATGTGACTTACTGACTAGAACATTTGACTTCCGAACATACATCGAAGGTTTCAAACCTCATTCTGCTTAATCGGATGGTAGTAACCAGGCTTTATCATCAGTCCTAAATTAGTTAGTGTATTTCATAGACATACATTAACAGCTGCAGCCTACGCCCACTCTATACTGAAGATTTGATCAGAATGCGAGAAAGAATAAGCAAGGAGGAACTCTAACCTGGCAACGAATCAATGAACCAAGAACCTATCATCCAACAAATATGCAGAAGAAAGTGGAGATGGATTGGATTGGGTATACACTGAGAAGGCCGACTGGGGACATCACGCACCAGGTCAGGCCGTCAAGTGGAAGTCAAATGGGAAACAACGAGTTTAGCGTCCAAGGGAGACATGGAGAAGATAGTGTGGGGAAGAAATGAAAGCTTGTAGGCAACCGTGGAGCCAAGTTCGAGAGACTGCAGAGAATAGAGTAAAATGACGACGTGCTACTGAAGCCCAATGTTCCACTAAGAACCCAAGGGATATATAATAATAATAATAATAATAATAATAACTTCATAGTCTGGTACACAAATCGTGTACTACGTAAAGTTGCATTATTCTTTATGGGACAGGTAGAGTAAATCGACGCAGAACCTCGCACACAAGTGTATCGGTTCGAGTGCCAAGCTTACCAGTAGTACAAAGGATCAAGTGGATGGGAAAGGAGCGATATTAAAGTAGACAAAGTTATGTGAGAGAATAAACAATCTAAAGGTAAAGGTCAGTGCGAATATTCAAGCTTTAGGAGACGTTGAAGAGTGAATACATCTGCACCATTGTAAACGATTTTCACCCAGGAATCCTTAACCACTGATCCCTTTTGTCTCGGTGACTCCAGTCAGGCAGTCTATCTCCATACACGGCTCAGGCCAACAGTCAGAGACTTCATGTACTGGGGACACGACGTCTGGTCACTCTGAGCTCTCTTCCAAACTAATTCAACTTCGCTTAAAATGGCATATCAAGGTAGGTGGTGGCTGGGTATGCGTATCTCAGTCGACTTAAGTTCACAACCTCATCGACTGACTTTATTATTGTCAGAAAAAGTTGAAATTTGGTGTAAAACAGTACCAAAAAAAAACGTTTCTGAAATTTTTGATCTTGAAAAATCTCCTCTAATCCATTATCATCTCATCAGCGAATAGAAGTTAAAATAATTTATCTCATAAACTAGAATAGGTTACATACTGTTGGTGAAATAATAAATAGATTGAAATGTACTCATAGAACACGTGTACGCTCGTACACTAGGCAATAACCCGTATACCTACTGTATGATACCATTTGGTATGCAGAACGGGACTCGACCCCATGATTCACTAGTTGAAAGTCAAGTATATCTAGACGTATGAGCCACAGATCCATTTATGGTTTGGGGAGTGGGAAGATTATGCCTAGAATACCACACAAAGAACGTAGGTCAGTAGATGAGATTTTGAACTATCAAAAGTTGAGAAAAAGGTAAGTATAGCCAAACCACGAAGTGGCATGAATCTGTGAAGTCTCTGACTGCTATTTGAGAACTGTAGAAAGATTTAGGTTGCTTGGCTGAAGTTTTATCATCTTCAAAGTCTAAAACAGTTTATAAACGTTTATCTGCTCATTCTCTTTCATTGCATACACTTTTATCGACTTCACTATTATTCACTTACAGTTCACTCCTGTTAATATGAAGTGATGCACTTCTGTGTAAAAAGTTCTAGAGAAATACTTGACTTTATCTCTGGCGTACTTATCGTATAATGACCAATGATAATTCTTAGGATCACCCATCCATCCATCCGATATCACGTTTAGTGATCGACTTCTTAAGTGGTAAAATCATACTAATACGCATTCTTCGAATGGTGTAGAGTATGGATTTGAAACCCGAGTATTTAACTTACATAAATAGAAGCTGTCCAATGCGTTGGCATAGGAAGTAACAAGTGTTCAAACTATATATATATATATATATATATATATATATATATATATATATATATATATATATATATATAATGCAGCAAAATACAGGTACTTACGGACACAACCACGATTTGTAGCTTTACGTTTCTTAACAGCTGAAGAATTGAAATGTGTTTGAGAAGAGAGTAGATTTCCATTAGAATTATCGCCTGTATCATGCTTGGTTGCTAATGTGGATGTTGATGATGAATTACCATTAGTACTGTTTACATTTATACCTATATTATCAGTATTTAAAGCGGCTGCAACTACTGCTGTTGCAAAATTTGCTGCAGCTGCACTTAATCCACCATGTCCACCACCAAGTGATGAAGATGATGTACCTTTTCTTTTCCAATAGTAATAGAATGCAATCAATTCTTTGACAGTTTTGACTGGTTCACTTGTAACAGGTAATCCAGATGATGATGACGATGATATACTCCCAACACCAGTATCACCAGTAATTGAATGTTTCAATGTGGTGGAGCCTATTAGTTTGAAGATAATGAAATGTACATACATGTACAAAAGAATCGAAAATAATCATCAAAAGAACAACCAGATTCCTATAAAGATGAATTAACTTGGCGCTTTAGTCAATCGACTAGAAAATCAGTTGGTTTCAATATTTACAGAAAGGTAAACAATTTCAGTGATTAAATACAAATTTAGGTATTGCATGATTGAAATGAAAGTTTGATATTCGATGTTGGGAGACGACTGACAGGAAGTATTAGGTAGATTTCACGTTTACTGTCAGTTATTAGTAGCCGGTTAGGAAAATTATATCTCATAGGATAGAATACAACATGGATTACCACCTGCTACCGAAGTCATAGATCTTAAAATTGATTAATTCAAGTAATAATTGACCTATGTTAGTTGGTTGGAGACAATCAGTAGGAAGCTATGGACTTAAGTTTACTGCTTGTTGGTAGTCATCAGCGACGCCACTGTGGAATACTTCAGTGGTAACGTCACTGCCTGCAAACACTGCGTGGTGCAGGTTCAAATCTCACAGGTTACACCAGTTCTGTCGAGGTTGTAGATACGCCTTGATGACAAGTCCCAACAAACACAAAATCTACGTACAGGGATTCCTACCGATTACCTCCAACCAATATCCATCAAAGTGTACGATGATGATGATGATGATCGTCTTAGTTTGGTGGGAACATTCCAAAATGACCAATAGAATTCAGTCAGTGCTCAGGACTAGACAACACTAAATTGGTTGGTATGCAGTGACTCACCCCCGTCTAGGACTGGAAGATGTATGTCAACTGTATAGTAGGTGATTTATAAATTCGATTCCGTTTATATATGCATTAAGGTTATAGTAAAAAGCTCGAGATAATGAGACGTCGGCACGGTTGTAATTGAATGATCCGCAGAAAAAAAAACTATGAAGGGCTGTCCAGAAGTAGTCAGAGGTTTTTATTTACAGTTTCTCCAGTAAATACTTCCGATTGTTTCAAAATACAATGTTAATGTGCAAAAGAGGAAAAAAAGGGTACTCATAAAAGCTTACTCGTCCCGAAATTGTTTTCAACAGATTCTCCACCATCATGTGAACATTCAGAAGTTGGAATAAATGTAGCATCTTCTGATTTAACTTCATCTAATCTATTCATCACTGATGTTGTAATTGAACTACTCTCGATTTCATCTGATTTGATATTGGGGAATTTTGAGTTTGGTGGGTTGAGGCAAGCAACACTAGGCAATTTACGACGACCACGACCACGTAAACGACTAGTTCCTATTTGATTTGAATTCCAAAGTCCAGAAAAATTTGTGCTATTCATATTGTTGTTGTTATTGATGGTGGTGGTGCTATTGTTTGATGTTTTTCCACCGAAAAAATTTCGTTGAATTGTAAAAAAATCTTTACCATGAATACGTAAAGCATGCGCAAACAAACGAACTTGATCTGCTGTCCAATGTCTTGGAGTATCCTGCAGGATAGAATAATAATTAATGCACGTTTATATTTAATAACTGATAACTAAAAGAAACTGACTCGTAGAGTTGTAGGTCACTGGCCTAAAAGCACTCAACTTTTAATCACTGGGTCGTGGGTTCGAACCCCACTCCATTTATCGAAGTTTTAACCGGGCAGGCAGTATCATTTGCTAGCATAATAGAATAGGAGTGGGAATATGGTTGCTGAGTGCATGATAAAAAAGAGATTAACTGGGGGAGAAATGTAGATACCAAGAAGATTGCTCATTTTTATTTATGGAAATACAACTGGCAATATCAGAGCTATTTGTCAACTGCAATGAGATAAAATAATTTCACAACTATTAGGTGCAAAGAATTTCGTTTCAATTAATACCTGTCAAGTAATTGACCAGTGAAACCTTAGCAGGTTAAATTGATTTGCGTGAAATCAATGTACCTCTGGTGCAGAGTAAGATATTCAAACGCTTATAAAGCACAAACCTTTGCAAAGCTGTAATACCTTCAGACCTGAGTTTGTGTATTATAAAAACACTGCGTAAGCAGACAATCTGATTAGGTAGAGCACAGTACAAAAAGAAATTCAGTTACTTTATAAGGTTATGATAACTTAGAAAATGAAGTTGTTCGAATACATGTTATACATGCCTACCCATCGTTTATAGCAATATAAAATGCCAGCTAAGGTAAGATTATGTTAGTAAGCCACTTACATCATCGTATATAACACCAGTCCAAACAGTTTCTGACTATTAATCTAGAGAAGTTATGTGTGTATGATAACCAGAATGACTGAAAATGTATTGCTCACAATCGGTCGTAGTGAGGTATATGCCTATCAAGCTTATGGAACATACAAAGGTTGACAAATCAACCTAGAGACTAGCATAGTTGTACGTCGATTCAAGTTGCCGAATTTTCACATACATAGGAGATAGAGATATAAAACGATAATAAAGTGGACAAAAGTGTATGAGAGAGGAGAAGAAAAATATATGAATGTTTACAATCCTGAAGAGGCCAAAAAAAAAGGAAATATCTATGCCACTGTAACAGACTTTGAGCCAAGTCACACAGTCTCCAAAAATGCAGTGGCTGCAAGACCCTAGACAGGCAGTCAAATACTTTATCGATAGATGCCACAAATACATCACAGCATCAATAATTCTTAACTTTCTTTTGAAGAAAACCTACTTCAGCTTAAACATCCAATACAGGTTTCTATAATCGTTTATCATCTACTTTCAAAGTATGATGATAACCTGAATAGAAGCAGGTGAAATCCGACTGGCACCTGAAACAAAACATTTCACAGACAAGTTTCATAAATATATAGGAGAACACCTACACTTTGGTTAATATGGTGTCAAGTTGAATAGTGTTTCGGCGTTCATCTATCACCCATCCAAATCAACATAGGACCAGACATTACTGCGTAACAGACCAACTTGCCACACATCATATCACTACATCAAGCAAAAAGGCAGTGAGTAGCAAAATGAAGAAAAGAAAATTCACCAAAAAGAAATATCAAGTACTCAAAGAGAGAGAGGGAAAAAGGAAGAATGAGAAAATGGTGAGATTCAGTATAGCGTCGTTAAGATGACGGTGATGTGTGTATACATCTGAACCACTGACATCAGTTCTCACCCATATCATATCATCACCTACAGTCATTCTCAAACCACTACTTCTTCTTGTCCCACCAACCCAAACCAACCACTCTGCATCGCCCCACATAGCTCAAACCAACAGTTAAATACTTCATTCATTCATTCATACCATGTTTAACTCTGGACACCTCAAGCCTTTTTCCAACCTCAACCTACTTCCGCCAACATTGTGTGACGAGACAGATGGCAAATAGGCATATATAACACATGTCCCAACCAGACATCTCACTCCATCAAGGTTCACAACCTCGTCAACTGACTTACCTCTTCTCCATCTCTAAAACTCTACACCTGACTTCTGCGTTACCCACACCATGACAACACGGAATACGGCCCACACTACAAAGTGGTGATGGTGGTCAAACACTTGAAGCCTTCTTATATCTTCCACTTTCAAGGGCCATGTTTCACAGCCATATATAGTAGGACAGACCAGACTGCTGTGCAGTACACACCACCCTTAATAGACAATTGGACATCACGGCGGCGCCACACGTGGGTTCAGTTGGCAAAAGCCAGTCGAGTCTATTGTATTCGTGTAGAGATTTCATCAGCAACTGACCCACCAGGGTTGATCCTACTTCTCAGCATACCTACTGTAGAAGGTAATCTCATGGATTACACATTTCATGTTAGTATCGGACTCAATGGAGTGCCCACTACAACTCTATCAATTTAACGGTACACAATGTTGTTGAATTTAACTGGTACATTTTTAGTGGGGACATAAACAAGAGTTACTTGAATTATCACTTTGAGTAAAGTCAAATCATAATACTCATCTATAAATGTTTACAGTTTCTTCTAAGGGGATCCATTTTAAAAAAGATAAATTAAAGGATACCATGAATTTATCACAAATATTTAAAACTTCTTTTATGTTTCTGTCGGTTTATTGTCCTCTTCATGTACTTGTTACAACTTCTGAAATTTCTGTCTTATCAAAATATAAAATTGTTATTGATTTTGGTTAAGATCATCAACATTGTATTTTTTTCGACTCATTAGCTACCTACCTTATAGCTTAATCTCGGATTTCGAATCTTTATTCATTACTATGTATTAAAAGCATATCATTATTACTGTTATTAATATTTCATTTCAATTACAGGTTGTTAGCAGGTAATAAAAGGCTGTAAAATAAAATAAGCTTATTTTATTCTGCATACACCTTTCTGCTTGCTTTCATCATATTTGTCATGCGAACTAAATGTATGACTTTTTTTTGAAGAGTTGGATATTCCTGGAGGAAACTACAAGTGTTTAAATTCATGACACAAACATGGTATAGCAAGGGCACCAAGAAATGTGTCACACAAAATAGTATAACAATATTATGAAGATATAAAGTAGTGGAAAGTGGATAAATAAGAAAGAAAAACACAATTAAAATAAAATTATTAGAAGGTCAATCCAGTGAGATAGATACATTCAAAACGAAACATTCATTACTTTACAGCACAAGAAGATATAAAGAAGCTACACTATGATCGCCACTCGTTTCGATTCTCAATCATATCTGATAATGTCTCAAGCCACTAAGTTGCCTGACCTCTCGAATCCCATCCACAAAGTCATGATGCACCAAAACATGCTAACCCAATACAACTATCCTTCATCCCACTGCATCATCTCTCCGCTTCTTCCATCCAGTGCCAGGGTTAGCAAATAATGAATGGTGTGGAAGACGTTGGGACGACATGCGTAACACGTGTCTAAGCCATTGAAGGTGGTGTTTCCACATAACTTCGCTTATTCAATGACGATCTCCACCATGTCCAGATACACGCTGTCGTAGCTCACAATTACTTACATGATGTTTCCACCACCGGATACGAGGAATCCTATTGAGACAACGACGATCGAAGACAGAGTCGTCGCATATCCTCAGCTCGGAGAGTGGAACTGGTCGGAGCCTAGGGCAGCGCTCACCCTTGGTGGTGAGCCGTTGGAAGTAGTCGAAACGTTCGTGTGTCTGGGTAGTTGTTTCAGTGCTAGTGAAGGTGTGGGGGGGTGGGGGGAGGGGAATTTCTAATCGCATATCAAGCGCCGTCGCGACGTTAGTCTGACTATAATAGATCAGGTTTACAACGCTTCCGTACTCTACGTCTGTAAAACCTCTCTTCTCCGAGCTGAGGATGTGCGATGACCCATCAAAATTGATGAGTAAGGAAAATAAGAAGGAGGTCGGTCAATTCCACCCTAAAGACAGACAGAGAGAGAGAGAGAGGTCAAAATGTAATCAATAGTAGAAAAAAGTTGATTACCTTTGCCACAATAGGATGACATGATATAGCTTGTAACGCATTTCTCAATGAATAATTACATTTGTGTAGTGTATCATAAGCATGTTGTGTTGTTGCAGCAAGATTAGCTAGAACTAAACCATTTTCAGCTGAGGCTAAATCATCTTCAGCTCCACCGAAACCGAAAAATGCCACCATTGATCGAACAGCATCTAAATAATTCTTCAATGGTTCATCTGATAGCATAGAATTGAAATCTGAACTAATATTGTTCAGTATAGTGTTAGTATTGTCAACATCAGTATTCATAGTGTTACAATCATCATCACCATCGTCATCATCATCATCATTAATATTGGTGATTAAATTGGTTAATTTACAATTACCAGATAATGCAGAAGATAAACCAAATGGACTCCAAACAAGTATCTCTCTTTTTTGTGATTTTCGATGTCGTTGATGACGTCTTCGCTTTCGACGATGCGATTGTCTACAAGTGTATGAATTTTTTCTGTGAATACAATGATCATGATGATGACGTCGACGACGACGATGATGATGATTGGAATAGTCTGTGTTTACAGCAGTTATTGATGTCTCCTTAAAATCATTTGCATTCTCTAATTTCGGTGGTAAATTTGATATTTGCACTGTAGTATTCATTATAGGATCCAATTTTTGGACAATAGATTCAGTTTCTTCATTTATTAGATTCTCTTTTATATCCTCTGACAGATCTATGGTTAATTCTGTTCTGCAAGGTATAATATTATCATCTTCGAAACGATCTAAATTTTCAGGCGATTCATGAATATTTTCCAATTTTTTATTGATCGATGAAACTTTAACACAACCATCAGCATCATTATCACCAATGAATGAAATGGTATTACAATGGAATCCAGCATTATCCTCTGCATTATTCGATGTGTCAGTTATAGCTAACTCATGCGTTGTTGAACTATTATGAATACGTCTTTGTTTACAATGATTATGTGAAGGTGATGATGATGCAGGGGATAAGGAATGTCTTGTCCTAAGACAATCTCCAACTCTACTGATCTCTTCATCAGATTTATGCGATGTAGGTATAACAACGGTTGTACGACGTCTACGTGAACGGAAACGATAGTGTTTATTACAAAAACGATAAATAGCTGGAGGAGGATGACGAAATTCCGGTAGAGCAGCTTGATAAGCTTGACCAACCTAATGAATGAATAGAAATAAACAATGAGAAAGTCATTTTTGAAAGTATACACTTTAAATCAAAATCGCAATAGTCAGAAAGAGACTTAAGTAACTGTTTAGATATTGTTTGCCTTACATGTGAATCATTTGAAGTGGAGACTATAAAATATACTTCCGAATAAATCCTACTACAATAAACTGTGATAATTGGGTTTTCAAACTCGACCTTCAAGCAATTATTTTCTCTTCAAAGTAATATTCATCAAAGAAAAACATCACTTGGTAAAGCGTTAAGATGACATCGATTCTCACCTATATCACCACCTAGTCATTCTCTAACCACTACTTCCTCTTGTCCCACCAACCCAAACCAACCACTCTGCACCGCCTCACACAGCTCAAACCAACAGTCAAATACTTCATTCATTCATACCATGTTTAACTCTGGACACCTCAAGCCTTTTTCCAACCTCAACCTACTTCGGCCAACATTGTGTTACGAGACAGATGGTGAATAGGCATACGTAACACATGTCCCAACCAGACATCTCACTCCATCAAAGTTCATAACCTCTTCTCCATCTCTAAAACACTACACCTGACTTCCGCGTTACCCACACGATGACAACACGGAATACGGTCCACACTACGAAAGTGGTGATGGTGGTCAAACACCTGAAACCTCATATCTTCCACCTTCAATAACCATGTTTCACAGTCATACACACAGTAGAAGAGAGTGGACTGCTGTACAGTACACACCACCCTTAATAGATAATCGAATATCAAGGTGGAGTAAGTTGGCAAAAGCCAGTCGAGTCTTTTACATTCACGCACAGATTTCATCGGCCATTGACCAACGACCAACACACCACAGCTGACCACACTTCTCAGGTAAGTGAAGTCGTCGACACACTCAACCACTACACTCTCTACTGTTAGCTGAGGCACTGTTGAACACCAATCCTGGAGTAACAATTTGCATTTGGGTGATGAGAAACGCATCCCAAACATTCTCGAATCGCACTCGAGGTTTCGCGAAGCCTCTGCATCCTCTCAGCATCTTCACCTAGCAGAACTGTGTCCGCTGAGTACTCTGGTTCTAACGAAAATTTTCCCGCGATTACATCAACCTCTGTGTAGTCAGGTGAAGAAAGGGAGACCTCAATAAGAATATCTATGATAAAATTGAATAAGAATGGAGGTAGTGGGCAGCCTTGACGAACACCACTCGATGAGTACAGCTCTCCTGATATCTCACCATAGGCTCTGACACGCTCACAAGTATTCGAGTAGAGAGCCGCCAATAAGGTGATGTGATGTACTCACTCGGGACGCCTTTCAGTGAGGCATTACCATAAGACTTGTCGACCAACGGAGTCGAATGCCGCAACCTTCAAGTCGAGAAATACAGCTATTGTCGGACATCGGTAAGGGTGCCAGTGTTCCATAACCTGGCACAGTGTTAATATTTGGTCAATTTGCGATGAGACGTGAAGGTCCTGAATTCAATCCCTGGTAGGGTCATGGGTGTCTACTGCTGAGGAACCCTATATGAGTACGAAACAGCCATCTAGTACTCCCACATTTTCAATGATCTTATTATTAGTGTCAGTACGTCAAATAAAATAAAATTCCTATAACCTTCAAAAAAAAAAACTAAATTCTTTTTTTATTCGAAATCCCGCTGCATTCACTTCGACCTGTGACACTGGATAGCATCATAAGCTCTGATAAAATAAGCTTAACCTAAAGTCTGGTACACAAAATATATACAAAGTTGAACTTCATTACTTTTATTAGTAGTATACTATTTATATGCCATAAACGTACAGATTCTCTCTTACACAAACGAGAATAACCATTCGTACGTCAGTGTTAAGTGTATGTATCGAATCAAAGTGAATTTAGTCAGAGAAAATCAAAACTACAGCTGATTAATTAAAAAGGTATTGTCTGAGTATAATTGAAAGTACCACCTAAAAAAATATCAACATTAGATGTACGTACTACTTAATTAGGTGAAATAATCACATGAACTTTGTATGGATTTTATTACAACTGAAGTATCATTTTCGATTGGACGAAATATCATGTTAACTGAACTCAAAAACATGCTATCAACCAGTTAAAATTAATGACTACTTGCTTAGATTATCATCAGATATGAAAAAAAAACCTGTTTGGCATTTAACAACTTCCGCCATCTGTGCCGTTAACTGGTGACTATCTATCAAAGAATGGGTATACTAAGCTGAAGTTTGTTCTGCCCTGTTATACGGCCGTGAGACATGGCTGTTGAAGGTAGATAAGTTGGTATTCATCATGAACTGACATCAGTTAGAGAAATATTGGATACCTGGGAGCACTAGACAGATGTTTCGTCCCAGTATGGGATTCCTCAACAGTGTGCACCCAAAACCCCACCAGATTTTTTTCGTAGCATTGCTCGCGTTTGGTAGAATCACCGCATGTGCAGTGTTTAGGTCAGGCGAAGAGTACTAGGATGGCTTGGACACGTACTCCGCATGCCCAGCCACTAGCTAACTCGATGTGCAATTCTAGGGGAAGTTAGATTAGGTTCGAAAAGGGTTCAGGGTGACCAGATGAAGGTACGGTACCACTCTATGAAGTCACTGACTGTAGATCTGAGCAATGTGAGGAGACATAGACTACCTGGTTTAGGGCCTCAAACGAAAGGAGTCAGTGAGTGAGGACTCTTGGTGAAATGGCTGAAAATCGATTACAATGGCGCAGAAGTATTCACTCCTTGACGTCTTCTAAGGCTTGAATATTTGCGCTAATCATTATCTCCAAATTGTTTATTGTCTCATACAACTTTGTCTACTTTAATATCAATCTCTTTCTATCCACTTGTTCTTTGTATACTACTATGAAGTATAGCAATTTGGACCAATGCACTTATATTCGAGGTTCTACATTGAATTTGTTTATCTATCTGACGTTTTCCCTTTCTGATGTGAGTCCCACCTATAAATGATTTTGGAAATTTACATGTTTCCATGATACCAGCTTTTACTGGAGTCGTACTCAACCTGTCAAGGTTTTGCTCTATCCTTAAAGAAAAAGGTGCAGCATATAACCTCGAACACCTGTGGAGTTGTGTATATAGCAAAGCATCAGAAGAGGACAAAGAATAATATATGTATGACTTGGCTACTCTCTTAATATAGTGAACAGAGAAGAAAAAAAATAATCATCCTTTATCCTTATCTAAGCGAAAACACACTAGCTTACTCGTATTTCAGCACGAATTTTTGATAAACGACGAGTTTCAGGATTGTAAGCAAAAACATAGAAGAAACTGTCATCTTCATTTGGGGAAAATGTGTTCAATGCAGTTTTCAAATCAGGTAAATAATTAACTTTACATATCCCACGAAGTTGTTTTGCAGGTAATGTTTCTTGAACTTCGGAAACAAATAATTCACGAGAAAATATCTACAAGAACAGAACAAGATGTAACAACAACGAAAAAAAAAGATAAAAGAATTAGATGTATGTTTAAAGAAAAAAAAAATGAATTCAATCTTCAATTAAAGCAACAGGATACAGAAATTAAGGTGACTGAAACACAAGTTAACGGAAAAATACATCAGTTACTATCGTAACATTCATCTATGAAAAATTGATATTCATCGGCAGAAAACCTGCTAGAACATTAAAACGTGTACACCATGAAAATTGATTACTAGAATATACTCGGATATACTCTCTTTGTCAATCCAAGTTTTATTATCTGAAGAAAAAACAATGTTATTCCTTACTAAATGGTTCGAAACAAAATCAACTAGTGAGTAGTTTCTTCAAAGTAATTTACACAGTGTCCTCCTACAATTCCAAAAGTCTCCTACTCATGAATATTATAGTAATCACGTATGCCTGTTGACTAACAGTAGACTGTTATTCGTTTCCAGTGATTTTGAATATGGTAGTAATGATGGATAGTGGTTAGCAGTGGGATCTAGGATATATATTTCGTCCTATTTCGTACTCCTCAGTTAGATGTACCTGCACCTCAATGAGTAGTGATGTTACTTTTACTAAGAGTCGAACACACGCCAAAGCGTTATCCATCAGATCACTGATTAACGATAGCCGCTCCATGTGTGACAGGAATAGTTTTTATGTTATTGTTTGCAATTTCCCCGTTGTTGACTGGACCAAATTGATCAGTCTCTATTGGGAAATGGGCTCCTGCATTAGGTCTTGTGCTTACTGACACTCGTCAGCAGGGCGTATTCTGCAGCCTCGATGGAAATGATGTCGAGCCTGAGATTCAAACCCGCGTCACCCAGTTTTGAAGTCAGAGACGTTACCAATGAGCTAAGCGGACAGCGATTGACCTCCTATATAAATGAACTACATACATTGATTAGTCATTAGAAAGCAACGAATTTCACAGCCTCCTCCTAACCTGATGGTCACATTGCGAAATAATCGATAGAGTTCAGTCAGCACTAGCGACGACTACAGAACATGAAACTCCTTGCTTCCCACTGACCAATCAATGTATCAGACTTTAATTACTTGGAACATTTTGTGTAGCTGTTACCTTGATAGAGTATGTATTATCCCATTCTATTTGTTAAGTTAAAAATTTGTTTCATATGTAAAAACTTATGACAGGTATTAACTCTGTGTATAAAAAGTGTAACAGAAAAGAAGCTCAACCCTGAGGGTAGCGACAAGTAGAGTATAAATTTTCGTCTAGGAGAAATTAACTTGTACCGTTTTCAATGTGATAAAGCACATCATGATCGCGCCTACATAACAAACCCAATAGCTGGCAACAAAAACACCTAATCAAAGTGTACTCAACAGAAGAAAGAACCACGGTAATGCTAAATAAAAACAGAAGAGATATTGGACAGTAGGCCCAGTGATGTCGAACCGAACCGCTCCCATCAACCGTGCACACGTGCGTGTAGTAGGTGGCAATGAGTCACATCTATTGTGTAAGGGCTGGTGACACCACCTCGGTAGGTGGAGCAGGGTTCGAACCACTGACCCGTTGGTTAAAAATCAACCGCCTAAATCAAAGAGCCACAAACCCAGTCATATAATTTGCGTTTTCACATTATCTCAACAGTTAGCAGCTAGTTGTAACATCAAAAAAAGCATATCCTATTGTGAAACCTTTTTTTCTATGCATAATCATGAACCATACTCAAAAAAATAGATTTATTATCATTTTGATTATCTGAGATAGCCGTGATTTGGCAGACATGTATTGATACTGCGTGATTTTCGAAGGTGAAATGAAACTTTGGATCACGGTCGGATTCGAACCAGCGACCACCGGATTTCCGACCTGATGCTCTACCAACTGAGCAACAAGTTCCGACTAATGTTGACCAGATTTCTATTTCACTTCAATCACAAGCGGGGTTTTGCCCGACTACCATGTGAATTTTTGACGTGTTACTACCGCTTAGTCGTATCCACACTGGCTGTTTTCATTGCAATCTACAACATGCCCCCGTGTTTTGCCCCACAAGAATGTTGACTGGATTATTTACAGTTGTATGATAACAACAGAATTGAATCTAATAACTAAGAGTAGATTAAATTTCATTTGTCGTGGACAAAACTATAGTAGATGAAGTATGAAACTGTACCTCATCAATTTAGGCATTTGATCTCAAACCGATGAGTCACAGGTCCGAACCCACTCTACCGAGGCTTGGATAGTCAGGTACTATCATTAGCCCTTAACACCATGAGCACGGCTCATTGCTATGTACTACATGAATGTGGACAAGATCGTTGAGTGGATTTTGATTTTGACACGGATTATGTAAAGGTATATGGTTACATATTCGGTCAGCAGATGAGACCAAAGAATTTGAAACATTCCTTAAGTGAATGAACTAACAGCTATTGAAATAAAAGTAACTTATACCGTTTTTCAAAAGTTTATTTATCATACTACTAACAAGTTCAATTAAGCTTTAATTTTGTATTTTTGAGACGAATGGGGATTTTAATTTAAAGGTAGCATTCATTACGGACTGACAGCAACTGGAGGACCATTCAAAATCAGGGAGTATCGGACAGCTGTTTCGTCCTAGCACGAGACTCCTCGGCAGTACCCACTCAAGCCCTGGCTAGAGACCGAACTCAGGATCTTCAGGTTTCACAGTGAACGCATTAAACATCCAGCCAATGGGTTGGTTTTCAGTGGTTCACAGTTTCTAACTTCTATCAATTCACAATATAGCGCAACTATCACCGAAGATCTTCAGTTTTGTATCATCAAAAATTACTTATCCAATCACTAATGTTAAGTTAAGCGGATATTTTAAAATTTCTCCTTTCTAACTTTATTAGTAACTAGTGAGTGAATCCAGATAAAAAGTTTCAAATAAAAAGAAATGTATATCCTGGATTTCAAGGTTAGCCATGACAGCAATGTGTATCATGACAAACAGGCAGATAGACAAAACCAATATACAAAGTCGCATCAAAGTGCATCACATACAATTGCTACACTTCACAGTAGTATGTAAAGAAAAGGTAGCCTAAAAGAAGACTGAGATTCACCCATCAGACACGACTCAAACCAAGAGTTGGAGACTTCATGGATCGATGCAACGTCTTAGTCCAGCCATCCTTACCCCCCTTCTAACCAAATCCAACTCCAGCTAACATTGCAATTTGAGGTAGGCAGTACCTCAGCATATCCAAGCCAACTCAGTCGCTGAAGGTTCAAAATCTCATAGACCGACTTGCCCGTCTCGCTTATTACTTTTCGCCTGACCTCAACGTTGTTCACACAGTGATTTCACTATACTTGAACAAAGCTATGAAGACACCACCTAGTTACGTCCAAAGACACGTAATCTCTTTACACCTACTTTCAACGGCCATTTCGCACAGCCGTATAATAAGACAAAGCAAAACACCAGTGCAATATACTCGTCCTTTAACAGGTGTCTAGGCAGCATGGTTTCAACTACAGGAGGCACAGACGAAAATGTCAAAGCCAGTCAGGATTGGAAAAACAGCAAGATAGGTTTTCATTAATCTGAAAGGATCAGCGTGGAGATCGACTGCAGTCAGCACAAAGAGTGAACAAGATCAGGATTTTGAACACCAATGTTAAGTCAGTGCTGCTTTATGGTTCAGAAACTTGGTGCGTCACGAGAAGCATTACCAACAAACTACAGACATTCATCAACGGCTGCCGCTTACGTTCACTCGATACTGAAGATCAGATGAGAAGGCGAGAAAGAATAAGCAACAAGGAACTGTGTCCCGGTAACGAACAAACCAAGAACCTATTACCCAACAAATATGCACTGGAAGAAAGTGGAAATGGATTGGGCATACATTGAGAAGGCCAATTGGGGACATCACGAACCAGACCAGGCCGTCTAGTGGAATCCGAAGGGGGAACAACGAGTTAGGAATCCGAGGTGAGGATGACATGGAAGAGATCATGTGAAGAAGAAATGAAAGCTTGTGGGCAGTCGTGGAGCGAGGTTCAAAAGACTGAAAAGAACAGAGTTCAATGGAGGATGCTACTGAAGCCCTATGTTTCACTAGGAACCCAAGACAAAATAATAATAATAATAATAATAATAATGAAACTAACAGGTGCCATACAAGAAGTTCAAAGGATTTATACACATAAATAGCTCACAATACAGGTAGAACATCAGTAAACGGACAAAAGGAACGAATGGTAATCTTGAACAAAAGTAGGCCGGTTGACATTTGCTGCCTTTCAACGAAAAAAAACGCATATATATATATATATATATATATATATATATATATATTCAAGTGAATAGGTCAGCTTTAAAAGAGGCATTTGTGACACCTCTATGACCTTGACACTTGTCCACACCGATTCAATAAATAACCAGAGACTCGATAGATTGACACTACATCGAAGTATAGTTAGAGCTTACTGCAAGTCATCTATCCCACTACTACTAGCCACTAACTAATAGCTGTACATCTAGTAAACGCATTACTCAGTCCCATTATAGCTATGACTTCGCCCTAGATTTATCTTCTTCTCTAGGGCTAACTTATCTATAATTACTGACTACTCAATAAATTCTCATAAATCCTACGCTGAATATACCAGATATACACACAATGCTTGCCTATATTCGCCATTTTATCCTTTGTCTACAACTTTTCAAGTAGTAAAACACACATTTTTCTATACCATTTGAAAATGACATGACCGTGTGCACTAGTAACTTCATCACACGGCCTAACTTTGTTGTTTGTTTGCATTTTTCATTGTTATTATTATTATTATCATTATTGTTGTTAGCCTCTATATACCTCCAATATTCATATTACTACTACTACTACTACTGCTACTCATCAACCCATCCATAAAACAGAGAGAGAAGAGGAGAAAGAAAAGTTATCCTACATTGACACATGCGAAAGAAAACGACTACATACAAAATTAT